AACTTATCCCCTCTCGAATACTCAATCGCGGAGTATCTCCAATTCATCGAGGGTAGTTATTAACAACGACCGTTCATTAATAACCCTTACTATTAATCAAATATAGAACAACGCCGTATACCGATATAATAGTAGCATTTAACCTCTTTAACTCCTAGATGAAATCAATTAAGATTGATAACCTCAACACAACGGTTTTGGTTTAACCAACAAAATTAATCCCTCTTAAGTTTATTAACCACGACCGTGCATTAACAAACCGAAGTTACTTACTTGTGGAACCATCAACGTTTAACCATCGGTTCGTTGATCGTTTCTAGTAATAATCAATGTCGGAACGTTAACTAATCGTCACTTAGCCACCCTCCAACATTAATATAGAATGAGATTAAGGGAAGAATTAATAATCAAGAGGAGAAAGTAAGAAAATAACTCACAACTTTAATAATCAACAAGCTTCAAGAGCAAAACCAAGAAATGGAAGTTTAGCTCCTCATTTGGAGACTAAACATGCTATAAAAATATAAAAGAAATACTATTCTAAACTGAGCTTAAGAGTATGGAAGAAGAGATTATGAAAAGTGAAGGAAAATGAGGCTATTTATAGGTGTTTTCAACACCCTGGGGCATTTACCCGACCGGGTCAAGTGCCCACCCGACCGGGTAAATGTCAAAATCAAATATTTCCCACGTTCTGGCGATCTTCGGCATGTTCTGGTGTTCCGGGTCAGATCTGACCCGACCGGGTCAAGTAGGGGACCCGACCGGGTCTGGCAATTTCCTTGCTTCTTCGGTTGTTAAATCTTACCCGACCGGGTGGGGATTTCTACCCGGTCGGGTTTTGCTCCTAGGCAATCAAATTTCTAGTTTGATTCTCTTCAAAGTTCTCTTTTCCAACACCATAAATTCTAAATCTATTTTACAACTTATAAATGAAGATTAAAATACAATTACAACTAAAATCACACAAATGTTTAAAAACTAAATAAAACGATAAATAATACACACAAATCAAACATAAAAACATACACCTATGCACTACTAATTAGTGCATATCACAAGGCGTGACCCAAACGCCCCGCCTACCCAGTACGCGTGGCCATAAAAATTAACTATAAAGGCTGCGCAGTGGCCAAACAGAACATGAGCGGCCCAATATTTTGTATTAAGGGCGCTGACTCTTTATGTAGCGTGTTGGAAGGAGCAACGTTTTATCTCCTTCCGGTGTGGGAATGTGGGATGCAACAAAATAAGAAAAAGTGAAAAACTAACCTCCTAAAGCTACTCATGAACGATAAAGGACTCCTGATTGCAAGACAAATACGGAGTAATACTTAGCATGTTTTTACTTCAACTGTAATTTGCTGATCTGGTCTGGTCTGTGACAAATTACAGTCTAAGTAAAAACATCCTTAGCTTAAAAGCATTTTTCAACTACTACTCTTAAGAGTGAGTACCTCATTAATAATAATGCACAGTGACTAACATTTTGTTGCTATTTTTATGTAATCATTATTGCTATATATAAACACTATAATATTTATTTATTATTGAATAAGTGTATACTAATAAGTACTATTATCACAGGATTGTAGATTATCATATACGAGTATGCATTATTTCTATTGTTATAAAATAATTATTTTTTAATCGTTATTACAATTACAATAATTATGAGATCATTATTATATAATAATTATTACTCTTATTATAACCAAATTAAAGTCGAGGCCTACGAGAGAGTTTTTAGATGAGTTGTTTTTATTTCTAGAAAAAACTGATTAAATTTAAAGAAATACATTTCACTTAGGAAATCTAATGAGTGGTAAAAAGCAATAACATATCATTTTGTACTAGATCCTTTTTATATATTTAAATATCATATATCGACCAAAATAAAACTTAAGTTCAATCTTGAATAAAGTTTTATCATGAAAAACTCTAATAAATATTATATAAAAACAAATTTTGATAATAGTACAAAATAGTTATATATTTTGTTTCCCGTGACAAAACAACACACTTATTTGGATAATAATTGAATAAAGTAGTTCGAGTATATTTTGAGATATAGTTTTGAACTTTTGATAGGTATATAACATAATGAAGTCAGTGTTGATAATTATTTTTTTAAAATGGAAATCAGAATCTTTATATAGGACGTTCAAAAGAGGAAAATAAGAACATTTATATGGGACAGATGACTAGAGGAGTTGTAATTATCAACATATATCTAAAACGCCTTTTCACGCCTAGACTTCGCCTATTCCCGCCTAGGCTTAAAAGGCTTGAGGCTTGGCCTTGCCGCCTTGCACCGTCTTACGCCTTTTAAAACACTAGTAGTTAGTAGTACATACTCTTTTAAATCCATTACACTTTAAGTGTACTATACGTCTATACACAAAGCTAAAAACACTTAAATCTACTACACCATAGAAAAAATCGAAAGTCGATGGGCGCAGATATTGGGTTATCTCCTTCAAGTGTTTTTAGCTTTATTTTTTACTTCTAAGATGAGTCATAATCGCCAGCTGGATTTCTAATCATTTATTTATCATTCCGAAAAGATCCAAACTCCTACATAAATGCATATCCGTACATGGGCCAACTACTCAACTAGGTCATTTTGAGGGTATTGTCCTTGTCTGGTTGTTGGACTAATTATGATCATTTGTGTTTTTTTAATAGGAGGGAGTAAATTAAAACAGTACTTCTAAAACGTCGGTGTCGGGTGCTTTAAAACTTTGAAGGTTACTGTCCTTGTCTGGAAGTATAAATTTTTGAGAAGCTGGAGTATTATATCTCGAAAAATTTATCTGTATACATAATTTGAACACATTTTTTGCTATGTACATACACATCTCGTTTAGAAAAAAAGAAATTGTTTGTGCATAAAAACGAGTTTAAAATATACACAAAATGTGTACACCTTCTAGTTATGAATGTAGACAGACAACTCGTTTAAAAAAAGATAGCAATTGTCTGAAGACAAGTGTGTCAAGTGTGTCCGTACTCTATACAAGTTCTCTATACACCAACCATGATTGTTACATTTTTCTTTTTCATACTCCGTATAGTATTCCAATACCATTTTTCATACTCCCTCCGTCTCTCTATAATTGTTTCATTTTTTCATTTTTGGATGTTCCTCTATTATTGTCTTAAACTAGTAGCATATTTTGAAACATTTGTGTCCCTCTAATTTATTCTTACTTTTTTCACTTTATTAACTCATTATCAATCATATAAATCTACTTTTCTTAAAAATCACACCACTCTCTTCCGTCTCGTATAAGGGGGAGAGAGGTGGTATTACACGGGAGTTATTTCCCGGGGAGGGGTACTTCACAATCTTATTTTCCAAAGTCTCGTACTTTTAAACTTATTTACCAAATAGGGGTGTTTTTTTCCTAATCAGCGAGCTGTAGGCGCCATGTCAGCAATATCCATATTAATTTAACTTCCATGTCACTTACCTGCCACATATGTGGTCCATGTCACCTCAAATTTAGATTTATCCAAAAATTCAAAGCTCTGAGAGTCGAACCCAGGTCAATTTATTAAAAACTTAAACCTTTCCCGGAAAGGGGTACTTTACAATCTTTCCCAGGCTAATAACTCTGGGAAAGGTTTGAGAGGACAATAAGCTCTGGGAAAACTTTGAGGCTACCGTGCATTATATCGAATAAATGTTTCTTTTTTCAATTGAGTGGTCAACAACATATGAAATTAGTTTGTGGTAGGTGGGAAAGGTTTAAGTTTTTAATAAATTGACCTGGGAAAGGCTAATAACTCTGGGAAAGGTTTAATTTGGGAAATAAGCTCTGGGAAAGGTTTGAGAGGACAATAAGCTCTGGGAAATAACTCTATTACACGGTGTGAAAGCAGCGGACAATGTGCGTTAAAAAATCCAGATTGCACAAAGGGAACATAAATGTAATGGGTGCCAAGGAGAAGCAATTAAAAATGGGTGATGCGCATAGTTAGAGCATATTTTTTTGTAAAATTCAGATTTTCTGAATCGGCTAAGCCTGTTCAAATATATAATATTTAGTTTGGAGCAATTGAATTGGCTGAATCTACTAAACTATGGAGCAATTCTATTTAAAATATGTGTTCTTAATTAAAAATTATATAAAAAAAAGCATGTCAAATTAAGAAGTATGTGTTCATTAAAGAGATTAAATCCAGAAACATGGATATTTTATACCAATTATAAAATATACAGAGATCAGATATTTTTTTACCAGATCAGACCAGGTCAAACCGATTAAGACTAGAGTTAAGCAGATCAGATTAGGCCAGACAACAAATTTTAGTCCAAAGAACATCCTAAGGCTATATTAGATCTCTAGATTAAAACACATGGAAAATGAAGATTATATATTACTTCGGTTTCACGTCAAGGTTTTCTGTCCTATTTACCATAGTAGGGTGATACTAATAAATAAGTAAATGCATCGTCCTTGAGAAAATCGATATCATTATGGTAAATAAATTTATGAATTCAAGTTATAAGTTCTATTAAACCGCAACAAACTATTTTGTAAAGGTTTGTTTACACTTAACAACAGTGGCCATAAAGTAAATTTTTACGAAGTATTAACTTTAGCCACATTTTGTCATTGATTTTTTTTAAAGTCAATGATTTTATTTTAATAAAATTTACTGTAGTACATATAATCGAAATACTAATCTAGCATAAAAATATTTGATCCACTGTACCAACAGGACCAAAATGAATATCCATATGATTCTTTCATGATTCATGAACACAATATTCACATACTAATGGCTAAACACAAAGTTTTATGATTCATATAATATATCTCGTTTATTTTAGTGTACATTTTACTTAGAAATGTAATTTAAAATAATTTATATTGATAAGTGGAAGATATTTATTTTCGTATATTCTTACCAAAAACGGATCGGCAGTACTTCTAGCAGCCAAGATATGGAAAGAAAAATTGGGCAAAAAATATTATAGAGTTACTAACCCAATTCCAGCAAAGAATCCAAGTGGAATCATCATTTCCCAGCCATTAATGCTCATGCTGCAAAAAGTGAACATAAACCACAAATACTTTATTACGTAGTAATATCATAACATGTCAATTCATTTTAAATGAAATTTTGTATTTTGTATGCCACAATTTTCTTACCATATAGATAAAGCATCAACCGCAACTTTAGCATTTTCCAAGTTGCCTGTCATCACTATTAGAATTGTGTAGTACCAATTCTCCAAGCTGTAGGTTAAAATATGCGGTCCTTTTAAAGTTAGCTTAGCCACACCTACCACAAACTAATTTCATACTCCGTATGTTGTTGACCACTCAATTGAAAAAAGAAACATTTATTCGATATAATGCACGGTAGCCTCCCAAGTGTGACTAGATTTTCACACAAAACACAAAATCACAGAGCGAGGAAACTTGACCGATTGAACTATTGAAGTGGTAAAAGAATATTACACAAAATGTTTTACACCAAAAATATAGACATTTTTTTAATTTAGGGTGTGTGGAGGCATAGGTTGCCCCGAGCTACGCCCATGCACAAAATGGTCCATCAAACTTAAGAAGATCGAAAAAATAAATTATATAATTAGTTATTGATTGTCAAGTATCTTACTATCTCTATCAAATAACGATAAATATATGATTAAAACAAAGATATGTGACCATGTGAAGGTTTAATTTATATTTGTAGTTAATACGGTAATATACTTTTAGTAACATACTAACATAAATCATACTTCGTATATTTGTCTATCAATGTTATTCATGTAGAGTAATATTAAAAGGAAATATTCTATATCTTTTTAAGCTTGAATATATAGAAAAAAGTATTGTCTCTATCCCACTTAAAAGTTCTTATTTCAAAATGACACATTTATTTAGAAAATAATTAAATAAGATAATACGGTATTTCGAGTATGTGATGCGAAATAATTTTGATAGATAAAGGAAAAAAAAATAATTGAAATACTAGAAACTTTGAAGGCTGTGAGATAAGTGTTCTAAACTTGCACTGTTGCACATGTAGTATATTAATCTCAAATTTGATATAAAAAGGTATGTTAGTTCCAAAAAATATGTTAGCGCCATGATCATATATCTTTCACAAATGTAATTTTATGGTGTTAAGTACATGATTTAAAATACATAAAACATTTATGAGAATGCAAATAAAATTAAATTTATCAGGTGTAATATTATTTATTTCAGAAATAAATTTTAGAATGTTAACCACATTCTAACAAAGCTTAAAGTATCTTAATTTAGTAATTAACCCAATAAATTTGTACTCGTAAGGACATCCAATCATGGTTCAAAAATAATTTTTATTTAAAGTTCAATATATATATATATATACACCAGTATTCAGGTCCGGCCAGGCCGGACCACTCCCCCGTCCGGCCTCCTCCATTTGGGGGCCTTCCCGGTGGTATTTTTTGCTCACATTTTTTGTGTAGGTTCCTCATCAGGTCTAGTTTATCCATACCAAAAATTCAATCGGGAAGGTCGTCAAGTTAACTGGTCCGGAATATGTATTTTCCGGACCAGTTAATTTGCAAAAATCATTTGACGACCTTCCCGATTGAATTTTTGGCTGAAATTTGGTATGGAGGAACTAGACTTGATGAGGAACCTACACAAAAAAATTGAGGAAAAAATACCACCGGGAAGGCCCCCAAATGGAGGAGGCCGGACGGGGCTCCGGTCAGGTATACATGACCGGAAGAGTAACTCATCAACAAATTCCACCGGGAAGGTGCCCAAACGGGCTCGGCCGGACGGGGCAGCCCGTCAGGCCGGCCTGACATCAAGTTTTCTCTATATATATTAGATGTGCAAGTTTAGAGTATTATTATTCAATATACACTACATACTAGTATTATAATTACCAGAGCATAACTCCTGAAGAAACGGAGAGTTTAAAGAAATCCCAAAGTCCAGAGAAAGCTTCGACGGAGAAACCGGGCCAGGTGAGGGGGCATCCGCCGCAAACAGTGTAGCCAAACAGCCCAAAAAATATCACGAAATAGGAGATGTTTAGGGCCATGGCAATGGCTATGATTCCGAGCCTAAACCAGTACACAACCAACCAGCTCAAAAGACAATGCACAATCAACGCCACCAAATTCACCCAAGCAATCACTGAATTCTTCAACTGACTCTGCAAGAACCTCTGCAGTGGGAAATGTAAAGCGAAACAGAAGTGCATCGGAATGAAAGCGATCACCACCACGCCCGAAAGCTCGGAAACATCGTCCGGCTGCCCCAAAAGCTTCAGCAACGGCGTCGCGTATATAAACAGCGGCATCATCGCAACGCAGCATATTAACAAAATCACCCATGACCGTTGCAGATATACTCCCAACATGTTGTACTTCTTCGCCCCGAATGCTTGCCCGCATAGCGTCTCGAGAGCGCTCGCCATTCCCAACTGATTTCAAAATAAATTACAAAAGTTATATAGCACTTTATTACTTCATATATTTCATAATAATGTCGACATACCATCAGGCCATAGTCGAAGCCTAGGATGACATTACTGCCAATGGACATGGCCGCCAGTTCCAAATCGCCGAGATGGCCGGCGAATGCCATGGTGATGATGAACATGGAATAAGAAGTGATGCAGCTGAAGGTAGCGGGGCCCACAATCTGCCATAGCTTCTTCGATTCGATCCAAAATCTCCATGAAAAGGTTTTCTTGGACAATTGTTCTTCGTAGGATATTTGAGGGTTGCTATTTTTTCTTTGGATGTCGGAGGAAGAATGGTCTGATAATAATGGCACCTTATTTCCGTTGACGGTGTTATCGCTAGACATTTTATCTTACAGGAGTACGAATGGACTCGCAAGCAAACAACAATGATACGTGCAGTGGGGAAGCCCTATTTATACTTGAAGGAAAATAATTGATGGAAAGGATGTTGGTAAACATAAATTGTACTCCTATACATTTTGCGTCCACTCCCCTACTTATCTCTATACACATTATCTCTTTTTTTTTGGATGAAATGTAAATATATATTAACACCCAGAAAATTATACATTACATATTTTAGATCTCCTAAAACCTCCCCCACCCTCACATTATCTCCTTCGAAAAAATTCCACACTTCCTTGTGTACATATTGTTACACATGTCTCTGTAGGGTTTTTCTTTTGTTTGTATAGACAAAAAAGGCTACATAGACATGTGTAAAAGTGTGTATCCCAAAAAGTGTGTATCTCAAGTCCAACTCATGTAATTAACACGGTGTGGACATTTTGTCTACACTCCCCTGGCAGTGGTGGAGCCAGACATTTAGAGTTAAGGGGGTCGATCCTTAAAAATTTTACGTTGCAGAAACCAAAGTTTAAAATATCAACATCTTTATATAATATAAAGTAACAGTCAATGCTCAAATTAAGGGCAAAATGAGAAACTAATGTACAAAAATTGAAACCCCGCCTGTTAGTCGATTTATGCAGCCATGTCTAACTTTGGTAAGATTAGTACGTTCATCTTATTGAAATGGTAAGTTATTTAATAATTTAATATTAAAATGGGAAGATGGTAACACGTTTAAATGATTAAACATGGTAGTATATTAGTTGATAGCCGATCTGCACGTAGTTTATTACTTTAGCAAGATATGTCACGTGTTTAATTTAAGATGGCTACAAATAAAATTAAGATATCCCTAGAATGAATAAAATACACAAACCACATTGCTAATAGCACACGTACCGTTATCATATTGCTCCAAATAAAAACACATACTATCTCCTTCGCCCTATTATTGGAATAAATGAGAGTGATGCGCGCGCAGTTTTTAAGAAAAATATAATTATGTGATTGATAATGAATTGGTAAAAGGATAATAAAGTAAGAATAATGTATTGGAGTCACACAAATATTACCAGATATGGTATGAGAAAAATTTAGTTGGACGGATGGAAAAGAAAAAGTTGGACAATTATAGTGGGACGGAGGGAGTACCACATATCATATTGCTCTGAAAAAAGAAATTCATTTTAATATACAATTTCTATTAAAATGATAAATTTTCACTAAGAAAGTTTCCATTGTGAAATTTAAGTGACATTCTACATTTTCACTAACAAAATTTATATATAAATAATCACATTTTTTCAGTTCATTCTAAAATCGGGTACCAGAAATTTATCGTAGTAGGACCAATATATCGTTATCCGTCTACCAGGCATATCTAGTAGGACAAAAAATGTTTGTATATTCTAAATTAGGACTATTATCTTTTTCTTTTTTCAAAGTTACTATCACTGATCACAGTGACCACCGCTCAATGCCCATCTTCAATCACAGTAATCACCGTCCATTTACCACCACCAATCTCAGGGACCACCGCGTCAGAGATCACCACCGGTCACAGTGACCACCAAACAGTGAACATGTTTCTGGTTCAATGACTTCCAGTGTTCCACGTGTTTTAGTGACTAACCTCAATAGCTCTGTCAATGTTAAACCCAATAGAAAAGATAAGTCTCTGGATAGCAGCAGCACTGCCTCAACGCCGACAGCCACCACTTGAAACCTTAGCTGCAACCCATGCCACCATCGCTGGAACCCTAAACCTAGGCAAGACGGCCACCCACAAATGTTCTTATTTACATAGAATAAAAACTGGAAAAATAATAGGAAGAGTGTCTATTAAACAATAGGTGACCCTTAAGGTTTTAATAAATAAAACATACGATAGTATCTCTACAATTATATAAGCATGAATATGGTTAGGGTATAATAGTCTTCAAAAAAAATGTTCGTCGCTCTCCTTGCATTAGCTAATTGTACTGGATGCATGTAGAGTTAGAACCACTAAGCGGCTATGGAGGCAGCTGCTCACGGGGTTAGCTTTGCCGTCAAAGCCTCTCTGCTTTGCATCGGTAAATTTCAGGCTTCTCAAATCTCAATTAATAATTTAATTTAATACTCCGGTACGATACATTTAAACCTTCTTTTCCTTTCCTTTCCAATCAGCCTGCGCACGCCCTCCCTCTCGTTCAAAAATGTCTGGCACACAACTACGATTGTGGAACGGTAATTTTGATACTCAAGATTCGATTATCCACCTATAAATATTTGGCACCTTGTACTGAAGAGATTTTGGAATTTTTAACATCTCTATGTAAGTTCTTTATTCTCTCCTAATTAATCAAATATTTCCTTTACATTTAAGTCCAATTCATTCCTAAATTATATATCAGCCTTTTCCTTGATCATGTTGTCTCTTTGTTGAATTTTAATTGCCATGTGTTTACATCTGTACTTCTTCCCATCCCTTTGTTTGTATTATTTGTTTATCTCTTTGCATCCCTTTGTTTTATTTTGATTACAATGTGTTTGCTGAAATGTCCATGTGATGTGTTCTATGTATCCTGCTGCCGTTTACTTACATTTGGGGCTCTTTTAATTTCATTTTCCCCTTCTGTGGTTTGGTAGTTACATGGTTGATGAAATGTAAAAAAAATCATGTACTACATGGAAGGGGAAGCTCTCCCATTCTATAGTTGCCAATTTTACCTAAATGATTCTGGTTGCATCTTAACACAACAAAAACATAATAATAGACATTGATACTTGGTTGGAAGTTGATTGGGCATTATATTATGTCCATCATTGGCTTAAAAGTACGTTTAAGCATAGGCTGTTAACCTTGACAAACTTCAAAAGAAAAGGTGATCAACATAATTAAATGATCTATGTTCATTATGTAATATATTGTACCTTTTAATTAAAATTTAATAGCACATGATACACAATTTAGTTTGTCTTTTAAAGTGTAGGAATAACTAACTTCTTGTTAAACTACACTTTGAAAAACGCTACCTTTGTTTACATTGTTCCTGGTATGGTTTAACACAATTTTTAATAGACCTTTACTATTTTTCTTTTTTACTTCCTAATTTACCCTTATATTAGTGTTACGGGTACCCGAGTGAAAATGGTGGTAAGTGGGTAGATTAAATGAGGGTAGTTAAGTATATGGATGACTTAGTTTTTCCCAAACAAGTAATGAGGACTTTATTTAAAAACAAACCAAAAAGGAATATGATCTATATTTAGGGACAAAAGGGGTTGTAAGATGCATTAAATTAGGGTTATGCATGAGTTCTAAGAAAATATGATCTATATTCAAGGACAAAGGGGTTGTAAGATGCATTAGGGTTAGGCATAATTTAATTGACTAATCAGACTGGACTTCTGATAGAAATGTAATTCAAATTTCTCCGTTCAAAAAAATGAATTGTTCAGAATATCAGGTTGACCAGAACCTCCTCTATATTATTAACTGAATTTGGTTTTGAGAGGTACCGGATTGGCAAAATTCCTAAACTTTTTTTAGTACAAAATTCCTAAACTTTTTTGAGACTATTATTTTCAATCCGGAACAAGTGTGAGCTTTCTTTATAATACACCTTTGAGAAAATAGGTAAGTGGTGCATTACAAGGTTCTCTATGGAGAGAATTTCCTATGTGGCATCATTAGTTTTTTAGAAAATGGATGAGATAAAGAAAAGTCTGATACTGCCATATAAGGATGTCCTCTCAAATCTCAATTCGTGGGATGACGGTCTCTCCATAAAAAGTTTCAATCTGTATTCAGTATTCAAATAAAATATCTCCACTTGGAATTGATATTGAGATTAGATTAAGTGGGAAGGTACATGAACAATAGTTATCTACGTGATGCCATACTTGACGAAAAATGTTGGATTTATGAGAAATTTGTTCTTTCCACTTTCCAGCAAGGAAGATTGAAGATCATGCAAATAAAAAAAACATGTCTTAAGTAAGCTTCAAAAGTTATTTTTTTCCCCACAAAAATCTAACTTCTGCAACTATATTTTCAATCTCAGTCCTCGAATGACATTTGTAACGAACAACTTAATGCTATCTCAATATACTTTACACATACAATGCAATGTTGAAGTGATAATAATTACATGGGATTCTACCATCCATCATTTTTCTTTCCATATAATCTCAAAACAAAAATTTCACTGCTTTGTTGTCAACAACAGAAGGATCTGCCTATAAGCTTTATGGCAGAAGCAGAACAATCAACATAAAAATTACCACCAGCAGACGAGACCTCGTGTCTAACACATAAAGACAGGTTTGTCCAGATTCTGCAGCAGCAGGTAGTGAAGGAACTCTGACAGCATGAATACGACTGAACCGTCTGAACATTTAGTACATTCAGACATTTCAGCCAAACAACTCTTATCAGTCGGGACAGTAAATTGACTTCTCAGTTTAAATGCAAATTTATTTGTTCTCCCTTTGTGCAGATTTCTTCTTTCATTTTCCACACGTTATATCTACACAGGTTTGTGCCCAAGATCTGAAGTATCTATTTGCTGATTGCTAAACAATTATCTGTTAATAGATGTTGTATGCTGAAAGTCTGAAACCAATATAGATGTCTTTCTGTTGTTGAATGTGGAGCTGGTTTTAGGTTATGATATCATAATCATCTTGCAAGTTGCAATGCTTACATTGTGTTTCTTTGTTTGTATTAATTTAGTTTGTTGGTCAGCTACTTTCCGGGTCTTTTGAAAGCTTTCCTTGGAGCAAAGGCAATTCTGTATTTTTTGTATTTGTATTTGAAATGTAAAAATATCAATAGCAGAACTACACAAGTATGCCTCCCACATGTAATTTTGGCAGAGTTTGTTTGAGATAGAATTTGTTTACGGTTCAGATAAGGTAAAAGGACCAAATTAGACACTCACCTTCCGGAAAGCCGCCTGCGCAACACCCTCAGCGGACGCACATCGGATGCCTCATCTAGTCGCTCCTCGACCAAGGTCGATAGCGGAAAATAGAACCCTAGCGGCAGTGAACCGCCTTAGAGAGAAAACCGTCCACGATATGATCCAAAACAAATCCCCGTAGTACTTGAGTCTATTTAATTAGAAAAAAAATATGGGTATGCAAACTTTCTACAATTGAAATTTCAAAAAAATAAATTAAAATTTATACATTGAATATTGGTGTCATTAGAAAGATCATAAAAAATCATCAATTTTGGTATATATTTTTTGTAAAATTTGGATTTAAAGTGAAAAGGTTACATACTACTCTTTGAAAAATAATGGGATTTTACATTTGCAAACCCCTCCCCCCTCACAGCAGACGTACCCCCACCTAGCCAACCTAGCCGGCACTTTATGTTGGTTTTCCCGTATTTCTTGAAATCACCCTTTATTTTCTCCTAAAAGTACTCCAATTGACACTTTGACTCAATCTTAGTGTAAGATCATTTGTAGTGGTTTGGGATTAGGAGTCAAAAGATTAAAAATGGAGATTTTAGACTCTTATTTGTGTGTAGTGGAGAATTAAAGGGGGAGTAAAAGTGGAAAGGAGAGTGGAGGAGTGTAAATATAGAGGGAGGGGTTGACAGCCAAAAATAAATAAAAAAGAAAAGAAAAAAGGGGATGGGATGGATTCGTACGCTCCATGCCGGGCCAAACCATGTTTTCGCTGACATCATGGTGACATCATTATAACCCCAAATTGTTTTAAACTCTTGTAACTTTTTTATTTGTTCTCCAAATTTTTCAAAATATATATCAAAATTCATAAAATTTTATGATTTTTCATATGACACCAATATGTAATATATAAAATGAAACAAAAATTCTTAAGTGTTAACTGTTGAAGTTTTCTTCCGATTACAAAACGATGAAACACAAATTTTTAATTCATGGAATCTTCACAAATAACTGAATATTTCATAATCGAACTTTACTTGAACTAAGTTCATTTTTCTTAACCGAAAACATTTAAAAAAAATTAATGAAATTTATTTATTTTGATATCGAAATGTGTATTTTTTATTTCACAATTATTTAGGGAAAAATATTAAACGGAAAACATTACTTATAATAAATTAATTAATGTTTTACTAAATTGATATGTAAAAAAATATGTTTAGTGTATTTTATTGACGGTGCACGGATGCAGGAAAAAACAGTATTGACGGAGTCAAAATACTGTTTTCATATGGACGGAGTCCAAATTTAACAGTTTGGACTCCCAATCACTACAAATGGTCTAATACTACGTAATAAACTCAAGATGCAAATGATACGGAGTATATTGTTTGAATCAAATCCCAACATAGGTGTACGAGCAATGTTTTTACTTTTCTAACAGAGTTGCACGTGCGGAGTATGATATTAATCACTCTCGTGATAATGAGGGTTGATTTGCAACTGCTTTTAAAAAAGCACTTCTCAGCTTTTGGCTTTAAAAAAGCACTTATTTTCCCAAACACTACAACTTTTATTTTTCTCGGCTTCCGCGTCAAAAGTGCTTTTACTTTTTCTATTACACAAAAAGCACTTATTTTACCAAACACTACCCACTTTTACTTTTCAAAATCACTTTTTTCTCAAACACTATCAACTTTTATTTAATCACTTCTCCCCATTTCATTTAAAAAAGCACTTTTTTAAAAGCAGAAGCTGTTGCAAACAGACCCTGAACAGACTCTCAATATCTTTTCAGAGATAATTTTTTATAGCTACTTTACAATGATATGAATGTTTTACCAAAGTTGGGGTGACAAAGTTGCCAATTATGGCATCCATGATTTGAAGCTTTTGGGTCGGTAAGGAAAAAGAAGATGGAAAGAGTCAAAGAGAAGATGGATGGGGCTATGATCATAAAAAAGTTAAAACTTTACAGGAAAAAACTAGCTTTCAATAGTACCAAAATAGAGATTTAGAAAAGGCTGATAGGCCGTTTTGTAATTCTTAAATCGGTTTTGTAATACTTAAATCGGTTCCATTGACTCATTATGTTGAAATTTATGTAATTCTGCTTGTAGTGAGTAGATTGGCTGATTCTATTGTTTTATAAAAAAAATTAAAATATATTTTACTAATAAAATTAAGAAAAAAATATATGAAAAAATAGCTTAATCCTTAGCTTGCTAAGAAATAGTAACCTCCTAAAATTGTAGTTGACTTCTTATTTTAGAGTTACTCAGAACCATTGTTATATTTCTCAAACAAAGAAGAAAATAGTGGGTTGATTCTCATATAGAAGTCCTAAAGATAAACACGGGATTGGCAGGGATTTTGGCACGGATTTTGGCAGGGATACGCCAAATCCGTGCCAAAAACACTTTGGCACGAGCTATTTGGCACGAAAAATTGATAAGTCCGAGCCAAATTCCGTGCCAATCACGCCTTTTTTTTGTAGTGAGAACTCCCCCGAACAAAGTTTGCTATAAAGAATATCAAATCGAAGAGAAGTATGGAGAGATCGAGGAGTATAATACTAACTTATTAGACCATAAACCATCTTTTCATTTCCTTTTCAAAAATAGTACTTTCATTTCATTTTTAAAAAAACCATAAATAACAGATTTTCAATGTTTTCATCTATCACATGGAATGTCTGTTAAATGTCCCACATCGAAAAAGTTTGGATGAACAAAGTGTTATATTAACACATGAGTTATTCCTCCTATAGGGCTGACTTTTTAGGATGGAACCCCGTGTATTAACAGAGCCAAATCGATCCATGGTGTGGGCCCCTTATGAAAAAATGACGAAATGATTATAAAAAATATAACAATGACTTACCGATGAAAAATGAATGACGACACGATCCAGACGAAGTATCTGGTCGTGGAGAGGGGTGTTAAATGTCCTACACCGGAAAAAATTGGATGAACAAAGTGATATATTAACACATGAGCTACTCCTCCTATAGGGTTGACCTTTTAGGATGGAACCCCGTGTATTAACAATATCCTTGTTAAGGAATAGTAAGTAGCCTCCTAAAAATGTAAGGTTATTGTCTTACTCTCATCTTGTTAAGGAAAATTCCAAACCGAACCAATTAATCGGTTTCTCAAATTCTCCAAATCATAACCGAACTTACTTGAAACCGATTTTTCGGAAACCGATTTTTCGGGTCGGTTTTTTGGCTTGATGAAAAATCGAATGAATTCCAAAACATTGACTAAAGAGGCAACTAAGCCAAGCCTTGGCTGCCTATTCTCCTCCTCAACCGGTGTGGGAACTTTTAGAAAAGGTTTAGAAAAATTAGGCGCAGTAAAGAGGCCTAGAGGGGAGACCGGTACAAAACGGGTTCAGGCCGGACTCGGGCCGGGCTTTTTATAAATTTTCTGCCCATCATGTGTGGGCGGGCCCGGTCCGGCCCGCAAAAACGGGCCTAACCTCATGTCCATACCCGCCCGTTAGAGCGGGCCGGGTAGTCCACCGGGTTGCCCGGCCCGGGAAAACTTTAATTTTTAAAAATTATATAATTTTTGTAATACTTTATAAATAGTATTACAACATTTAAAAAATTGTTAATACGCTTATAATGTTTTTAAGCCTGCCACCATGTACACAAAAAAATATAATGAGAAACTATATCTTAAATTTAAAATTGAAGCACAAAGTATTATCTTTAAGTACTAAAATATACTACATACTACGTATATTATATTGGTTGGACCAGTTGTTAAAAACTAAAAACTTAAATTTAAACATAATTAACTATAAATATGTATAAAGATACATGCACAAAAAATATAATGAGAAACTATAGCTAAAATTTAAAAATTCAAGCACAAAGTATCATCTTTAAATACAGAAGTAGATATTATCTTGGTTGGGCTACTTGCTAAGAACTAAAAACTTAAGAAAATGAGTTGGTCCAATGGTGTTGAGCATATGTTGACTATGTCAAATTTAAATATAATTAACTATAAATATGTATAAAGACAGAATTAATAAACATAAATATACAAGCGTACATGTAAATAAATAAATAAATAAATTAATATATATATTAAAAAATGTATATATACTAAATGTAGCAGGCCGGGCTTATCGGCCCGAATGAGCCTACACCCTAACCCAAGCCCGCCCAAATGTTATTGCGGGCCGGGCCGGGCCGGGCCCGATGGGTAAATATATATGCCCAAGCCCGCCTATTTGTGCTGGCGGGCTGGGCGGGCCGGCGGGCCGGGCCGGCCCGGTTTTGTACAGGTCTAAGGCTGGGACTGAGTGGCCGCAGTGACACGGCCCGGGCTCGGGTCCCCCAAATCCTGAACCGGCCCGGCCAGTTCCGGCCCGGTTATGGGCCTTTTTAATTTTTTTTTTTCAATTTTTTTTTTACTTTTCGTGTTTGGCTGGGTATTTTGGGGCTGAGGGGGCGTCAGGGTGGTGGGGTTGGAGGTTAACTAGGAAAAGGGAAAAAAATAACAAGGCCTAAGGCCTGGCCCGACCCGGAACTGGGGATTACCCGGGCCGGTTCCGGGCCCCCCATTCCAGAACCGCCGGCCCGGGCCCGAACCGGCCCGAGTCCAGGCCTGTTCATGGATATGTTTGGTGCAACAGTGCAATGGGTGATTGAAAATTACTTTTGTAAACTTCTTAATAAATGCTCAGATTTTGTTACTGAAAAGATTTTTAAATTTAGGTTGTAATTGTTGGATAAATAGCTGACTAATTGATTTAACTATGTTAGGCATAACTAGCTAAACAAATATTTTCTCTTAGAAACTACTTAGTGTAGGCAAACATACAATTAGAAATTTTTGATAAACTTTTGGGAAAAGGAGCAAATAAGGCCACATACTAACAAAAAAAGGTCAAATAAAGCCTTGTTTATGAGGCTCTGTCCGGCCTTCGCCATTTGGGGTGGTTCTCGGTGAAAATTTTTGATGAAATTTTTTGACCATCTTATTCATTAAGTCTAGTTTTCTCATACCAAATTTCAGGTAACAACTTAATCGGGAAGGCACTCAATTGAATTCTTGAAGATAACTGCGCTTTTAACTGCACAGTTAAATAATACAAAATGCTTTTAAATAATACAAAATGCTAAAATGTAGTTAAAAGGACTTATCCTTGCAAAACATACTCGACCACTTATCCTTAAAAGGTCGTATCAAATGAGTTTTGAATTTTTTACATATGATGTTCCTTTGCCAACCTAGAGCTCCTCACGACCTCACAACGAGCCATGGTCAACTTTGAGGTCGTATCAATCGGTTTGTGAAACTCCTAAAAAGCTAATGTATCTTTTCCCTTTCTTCCGACCATGAGCCATGGTCAACTTTGAGAGACCACTAGCTATATATCCCAACGGCAGTGACGCTTTTGCCAACATTGAAAATTTTGATGATTTGTTTATGAAGCTCTCATCACAGTTTTCAACCTCTGATTTTGAAAGCCCTACCATTGCTTTCCTAAACAATCAAGGCATCAAAGCCACTAAACAAATACCATTTTAACCTCCTTGAAATGAATGGTAATCCATTTCTTCAATAGACTGAACGTCCAAATACATAAATTTAGGTGAACTTTTGTCATATTATAGTTATACGACAATGCCAATTCCAAACTTCTACTCTGCGTTGTGACCTACTCCTTCCCATTTCTCAATGTGTTGATTTGCTTTCTGAGCCTGTATTTCAACATGTAAGTAGAACAAAAGAATAACATCATAATTAATTACCAAAAGTATCAAAACCCCGCCATGATAATAATAACAAAATACTCAATAGTGACATAAAAACATTAACAAGTAACAACAACAACAACAATGGAAAGTGCGCACTTATGAAGGGACCGTTTACCTCTTTTTTCCAATCACAACGTAATGTGATTATACACAAAATTAGAGTTTGCACTGCAGTTCCACCAAAGATCATTCCAGCCCATATTCCCTGCAGTGTCCATTATAGCTCTAACTCATTCAACAAAATACACACTAAGTAAAACACCAAGTACAAACTGTGAAATTATATTACACATAGAAGTAGTCAAAGATCATTTATCTATACTCATCCTACAGAGCTACTCGGGGAAAATATAAAGATACGGAGTGTAAATTTTCAAAGATATTCACTATACGAAAGATACCCTTATGGTAAATGGATCTATAACAGGCTCCTCGGCACCTCGCTACTCAAGATGTTTGTTCGAATTAGGTGCTCCTTGTTAACTATTTTTCGCTCTCTTTGTCTTGATGGTAATTTAGCTGCCCTCAACTACAGTCTATAAAATTTTGAACACTATAGCATCTAGCCAAGCCTGGATAAAATTTATTTGGAAATAAACTGTAGTGGTTAAAATTAACAAATAAACTTTCTACAACTACTAAAACACTTCAGTACTTGGGCATATTGATAAAGGGTGTTGTTTCTGTCTTGCTCATTTGAAGTTTGTGGCTCATCTGTTTTTCAAATGCCCCTTGACTATAATAATATAACTTCAAATATGTCACTCCAGTAGGTAGAATCTATTCTACAAACCAAGCTGCCCCTCCTAGGGATATTATTTGAGTTTTGTTCTAGCTGTGCATAACTTGTTTTCTAATGTGGGTTGCCTTTGTATTATTCCTGCTCTTTTTGTTATATACTCATGTAAATACATCTTTTGTTATAATATATTTTTACCTCTATCCAAAAATAGAAAAATAAAATCACGAGTTTTTAAGGTACTTCTCCTAACAAATTAACTTTTTAGAATCGATCCCTAAGTTAAAATAAAATGGAATTCAAAAGAACTTCTTAACAAATGCAAGATAATCTTTAATTATCACTTGATAACTCTACTGGGTTGCATTAGATCCAACACTTATGTTAACCCTTCCTTTTTTACCAGAATGGTTAACACTTCCTAGGAACTGGTTAAAATTAAAATAAGAATTGCTCTGTAAAAAAGAATTAACGCCATGGGCCTTTATAGATTGTCACTTGTCAGATTACAACTTACTGAATTTACCTATAAAAATACCACGATATTGTACTGTATCACAATATGCTATCAATTATTAGAAGGTCATACATTTAACTTACATTTGACACGGGGTTTCAGAGATGGAATTATGTAATTGAAATGTATGGATTAAAAAAGAGGAGCCAGTCAAGAAAAATGAGAATTTTTTTGTGGGAATATCTAACGAACGAGGAATGTTATTGTGAAATTTGAGAAAGAAAAGTATATATGGTAATGATTACATATTTACATGCATCATGCATGCATGCTTACCATGACGCCTTGGTGAAACACCCATCCCATTATAATGCCGAGAGGGATTCCCAGTAAATAGTAGCATCCAAGGTTTATGTAAGCTACATACGCTTGCCATCCAGATCCAACAGCAACTCCTACAAGTTAAGGACGCTTTTAAATTTCTATTCACAATTCTTCAGTGCAGCTAGGTGGGGCCTTCCCCCCTCCCCCCCCCCCCTCTGTACATATGCGTGGGGTGAGCGATTCCACCTTTTTGGGTTGTGCAGTATTTAAAAGGTGGGTAAACAACATATGAAAATGATATTACTGCTGCCTGCTCTATATTTTTTCTTGCTATGTACTGTAACAAATTACTTTAAGAGAATAATTGTTTAAGTTTATTAGGGCTAGCAAGCTAAAGAGTAAGGTTTACCTGATAGAACTGGTTGAATGCTATTGAGCAGAATAGTGAAAGCCAAGAGAATTGAGAGGTGGCTGACAGCTTCTAGGACAGGTTTGCTCGATGAGAAAATTAGGGCAAACTTGTCATCAAAGATGAGGATTAACACCCAAAAGATCAAACCGATGATAGTTGAATGTACCACTGATACGAGTGCAGCAAATTTAGCTCCTTTTCCACTCCCAGCTCCCAACTCATTTGCCACCCTTACTCTGTTTAATATGTATCAGTGATTCAGTGTATCCCATAAATGAATAATCCTACTACTACTACTAATACAGTAAATAAATTGGGAGGAACTAAGGCCCCCTATGCCTCCGCCCCTGTAGTAAAAAAGTCGATGGAGCCCCTTTTATCACACATGTGTTCAAGTTTGTTTCACTTGTCTACATGCACATCTGCAAGTAGACTTTCTTCGAACTCGTTGCCAATCCCGATAGTGTCATGCCGTTGACGGGCAACACGAACAACATCCTAAAGGGATGTCATATGGAAATCAAGAAGCGGAATTTCTTTACCTAGAATACATATGAAAGGTGGTTGTGCATCGTTCACAGCTAAAACAGTGTTGTAATGTTGTGCCATTGGTTTGTACGAATTATGCCGTGTATTTTCATCTTTCAGAACTTCCATTGATGGTTTCCATCACTGCCTATCCGTAGTATCAGATGATGATACAAATTTGTACTGAAAGAACAAGGGCCATCTTGTTGTTGTCATGACATTTAATGCTAACCGTGAGATTTTCAACTCGCCAATGTGATTGTAGAAAATGAGAATGCAAGTAGTTCGTCTTGGTTTTCCTAACGCTTTATGATATGTGTTGTTTTGTAGTACACTAAATCTACATGTCTACTGATCTTGGATTAGCATCCATGTATCAAGAGTGGTTTTCAAACTATACGTGAACTATAAACTTCTGGGATTTTAAAACGTTACTGCCTCAGTCACGTTAGCACCCTTATTACTAGATTCGGGAGCGAGGAATTCAAAACTCTGTTCACAGGCTGGATGTACATCGTTAGCTCATGTGTTAATATAGAACTTCATTCATCCAAACTTTTCCGGTGTGGGACATTTAACAGTTAGTAAATTTCACCGAACTTCAAACTATGTCTCAAGTTCAGGCTATAAATGAACAAGCGTTTCTGTATTTGAATGAAGATCCTAATGAAATGTGGGCACCAAGTTACGATAAAGAACGGCATTATGGCATCTTGATTACAAATCTTTCGAAAAGTTTCAACAACGTCCTAAAGGGATGTCAGACATTTCTCACCTATTCATTTATCACGGCAATTTATGACAAAGTTGTCCAACTATTTAATTTGAAGACTGATGCACGACTAGTTTGTTGTGACAACAAGCTGGGTTGCTTTGTCCGCAAACATATCGAAGGAGGTTATGGATCGTTTGCTGGGAAGCAAAATGGGATGCCAATCCTGTACATCCAAGGTAGTCAAACTCGAGATCCTACGTAGGATCGTGAGGGGGTTTGAAGATCGTAAATCGTAGGATCGTGACTCGAATCGTAAGATCCTACCATACACACACATACATATATATAAGTTATAATCAGACATGAATTTATTTCATTCTACATATATAATAATGTATGATATCGTTATAGTAAGGTATTGAATATAATTCATCAATAATAATATACTAAGATATTTACAATATAATACCCAATACTTTAGATATTATACAAAATAGTTATAAAAAATAATAGTATTAATAATAATAAGACTAACAACTGACAGTAAATTAAAGTTGTATTTTATTAATAATATAATAATAATAACAATAATAAATAACAGCAACAAGACTAACAGCTGACTGGAAATTAAAGTTATTTTATTAAAAGTATAGTACTGAATAATAAAGTAAATACCTATTGGTGTTATAATACTCAGTATAACATAATACGATGTAATAATAGTATAATTATAATAAAATATAAACAATGAGTGCGTAATACTATTGGCCTGGAGATCGATTCAAGATAACAAGGTGACACAGAGAGATGAGGTCTTTTTGCCGACAACTGAGATCAAGATAACGAGTTCATCGCAGAAGGATGGGGTTGTTTTTGCGATGATTGAATCCTTTATTAGACCTTTCAGTCTTTTTTGCCGACGATTCCTAATCCTGAAGCCTTTAAAAATTTCCGACAACTATTCATTGTTGCCTCGCGATTCTGCTACGTTTCCACGAGTTTACGGTTCTGCACGAGTGATCTCACCGATTCCACTATTTTACGATCTTTAGTAAAACCGAGATCGCAGGGAGCAGTAGAGATCGTATAATCGTACGATCCTACGTGCAAGATCGCGATTTTGACTACCATGTGTACATCTACTCTAAATGTTCATGTGATTTTTCCTTGTTCCCTCAACATTCTCGGTGTTTAAAAAAACATTTCCATCTAAATAAATGGGAGAAAAATAGATACAAGTACTGACCCAGTTCCAGCAAAGAATCCAAGTGGAATCATCAGTTCCCAGCCATTAATGCTCATGCTGCAAAAAGTAAAAACAAGTGAAAAGATCATACTTTTTTTAACCGGTCGAGTTTATGTTTTGGATTTTTTCTATGGTTGAAGATAGAAAATGTTTTTTCTGTACAAATCACTTTCATAGAGAAGTCCTTTCTTAGAGAAGGTAATCCATTTATTTCTTTTGCAAATCGATCAAGAACACCAAAATTTGATGGAACTCTGAGAGTGTTTCCAGTCAAATTTGAAATATTTGGGCCTGTTAGGTAGTTTGAATTTGGCAAATCAAAAACATGTTTTCTTCCGGACTCCTTACTTCCTCCGAGTACAGCTTTTTTAATTTTAATTTGAATTTGGTCAACTTTGGCCAATCAAAAACATGTATTCTCATCATAGAGCTTTGAGGAGAGCTTTGATCTGAGTACTTCCAGAGTTTGTATATATTTTTACATAATAACTACTTATCATAGTTGCTATGATTCGAAATCGAGAATTGTCCCTTGTAGCACCTCTTATCTATGAACTGAGTTGAGCTATGCCCACCGATGAATGGTTAGAATAATGTGATTATGTCAAGTGAGATGACTTTGGTCAATTTGATTTTTAACAGGAGAGACAAATGATACTCAAGTGGTAGAAACTTTTGACATTATTAAGTGCTAAATGAGAGAATGTGTCATTAAGACTTGTGAGAATAAGTGCATCAAGCAACTCATGCTTTATGTGTGATTGTAATGTTGATTTTGACTTTCAACTTGATATCATTGTAAGCCATGTGGTAAGCAATTTATTGATTCAATGATTGGCAATATGCGGGCGTATAAAAAACTTCTAACACTTTTTTAAACTAATTACTTTCTGGATGAGATAAGAACATATCAAATCAAACTCAACTTAAGGAGATTGGATCAGACTAGACTCAAACAAATCAAATTAACCACATCAGATCAAATTTAAAGAGATCAAGCAAGCCCAGACTAAAAAAGATCAGAGAATTGTAAGCCACATAGAGATCAGACATCCATAAGACTACCAGTTTAGTTCAATTCAGACTAGACGAGACTTAAACAGACTAGACTAGATCATACCATAAAATTTCCGTAAAAATATCTACATACTAATTATCATAGTAAAAAATAACAGGGATATAAAAGAATCACTTAAACAAGTGACCAATTTCTTACCAAATAGACAATGCATCGACAGCAATTTTAGCGTTTTCCAAGTTGCCTGTCATCACTATCAGAACTTTGTAGTACCAATTCTCCAAGCTGTATGATAAGTTATGCGAACCATTTTAAAATTAGCGACGCACACATAATACTAATGTAGCATATTCCGCCCTTCCAATTAATCTGATTCAACCCACTTCAGTTTTAGCATTCTTTAAATAGTTACAAAGTTGATGTCAAAATTATATCTCAATGGAAAAAGTATGGTTATAAAGTTAGTGTCCATTGTAGCAAACACTAAAAAGCCAACCGTATTGGTACGGATTTGGAATAAGTGTTTTGTAGGGTTCACAAAAAATTATAGGGGATTCAAAACGAATTTGGTTTTTTTTTACTCCAGGGTCCGGGGAAAGGGGACTAGGGATTGGAGTAATCGGGGCTGAAACTTACTCAATTGAGTTTTGTACCTTATGTGCCTAGCGGATTTCGAACTCGAGACCTCTCACTAGACACAATAACCTCATAACCAGTTGGGCTGGAATGCTTGGTTCAAAATGAATTTGGTATGAATTGGTGGATCCTGTTCAATTCGTTGCCAAATTTGTAACAACGCCGTTTTGGAAGGAGCTATTTGGCAATACGTCATGTCAAAAATATGTTATATCAAACTTAATTAATCAGTGCCAAATAATATGGTTATGAAAACTAAATTTATAAAACTATTACGTAGTATTTTGTTACTTCATAGGAGTAATAATTTTAAAAGTTCTATCATTAATAGTTCTCAAACAAAACTTATGAACAAAAAAACACTCTCTCCAATCCTTAAAACTTTATTAACTTTCCTTTTTGGGTTATCTCATTAAATTTGTTATTTTCAATTTTATGTAAATAATTTGTGATTCCAAATAATTTTTTATCTTCTGCACAAACTTCAACCACATGGTTTTACTTCATTGATACCCGTGTTGGATAAATTTGTCAATATGTCCATATAATCATTAGAAAAGGTACTCCCTCCAGTACACTGGATTTTGTAACTTTTCTATTTTGCGTGTCTCAAAAATATTTGTCACTTTTTTTAAAGTAATGACTTTGTGACTCTGTTTATTTCTCTCTTCTCTATACAAACAGAAAAACTCTGACTGGCCTTCTATATTTATGAAAGAGTAAATCACATAGCTTTTATTTTCAAATTTCGCATCCAACATTAACTTGTCAAATTTGTGTGAGACGGAATTATTAGAAAATTAGGTGAATTAGTGAATATTGTACTACCTAAAGAGAAAGTGAATATTGTAGTAGCTACTACCCTATTAGTAATGAAGTGTACATGCATTTATTGATACATATCATTCATTTATGTCTATGTTGTCTAAATGTAATAGGGAGGAATATTCATACTACCTCCCCACTAACATTGGGACAAAAAGAGGTGAATAGATTATTAAAAAAAAGTGAGTTTGTGTAGTTGATATTAAATTGATAAAATAAAAATAAGGTAAGAATGGTTTAGAGCAACACAATTTTACCAAATTTGGCATAGGACAAGCATAATGAGATTTTCCGAAAAGATAAAATGAAACCATTTTAGCGGGACAGAAAAAGTATTGATTTGTACCATACCTCCACACCTTGGACATAGGATACATTTAGTAACCCAGTTTTTCGGCTTATTAGCTAATTTTTTTTTACCAAACACGTAACTTTTGAGTTCTTGGCAGGATTGTGTAATAATAAGAAAAAAAAGGTTAGAGTGACTTTTGTAGCTGTATTGGCTGAATCGAAGTTATCGTAGATGACTATTTTAGCAATATTTCATGTTATTTTTTCTTTATTTTATTAATAAAATGTATTTTAAATATAATTTTTCATAATTAAAAAACAATCAGTCAATACAAGCAATTCAGTCAAAACTTCATAAATTTCAACAGAATCAATCATAAATAACTTCATAATAACAGGCTCTTAGTTATTTACTACTATGTACTCCTATAAAACTAATCATAATCATGATTACTAGAATTAGACATTTGTCTCACTTTTCCTTTTTTGTCTATCCCAACAAATTTATCTTATATCATATTTTGTACTACATCCGTCCCATTTTATTTGTCTCATTTGGTTTTGACAAAATTTTTAAGGGAAAAGTGTCAAATAAGCCCCCCTACTAATACGAAAAAGTCAATTAAGCCCTTGAACTCAAAAAACATCCAATTAAGCCCACGAACTAAATATAATGAGGCAAAACAGTCCTTTTAGCAGGATATTAACTGTTCCCATTTAAGTTGCATGTGTTCCAAATGATGTTGCATGCTTTTACATTTTCTCTTTCTCTTTTTCTCTTTCATTCCTTTTTTCTTATCTCTTTTTAACTGCTTAAATACCTGCTAAAAGGACTGTTTTGCCTCGTTTTTTATAGTTCGTGGTTTTAATTGAGTGTTTTATGAGTTCATGGACTTAATTGACTTTTCTGTATTAGTAGAGGGGCCTATTTGACAGTTTTCCCCAATTTTTAATAAAGTAGTTGAAAAGGTAAAATGTGTGGTTGAGATTTGAGTATAGTAAATTGAAATGTTGTGAACCATATATTTCTTTCCAAAAAGAGAAAGATGACACTTATTTTGGGACAACCCAAAAAGGAAAGTAAAACATGTAAAATGGGACAGGGGGAATAATATTTATGTGGCTCTAATTATGACTTTATCAATTTATTATAATTACATAACCCCTCATATTTGAAAATGAGTAATTTGAGTTTGCACCTCATTTATTGTCCAAATTGGACTTTGCACCCCATTTTTAAAAATCATTGTTTTTGCACCTCAACCTCGTTTGAAAAGACAAAAATGCTCCTGGAGTCCTGGATGAGGAATATGTTGAAAGTCAACTGAATTGTTAATGGGGGTATTTTTGTCTTTTCATATGGGATTGGGGTGCAAAAACGATGTGTAAAGTTCAATTTAGAGAATAAATTGGGGCGCAAACTCAAATTACTCATTTTAAAAAACTGATGTCACTCTTCTTTATCCTAATTACTACCTCCGTTCTTAAATAAGTGCAACATGTGAAATTTTACACTATTCACATGTTCTACTTTGACTACATTTTATTTATTGATGTATTAATATATATTTTTGAAAAATATATTATGAAATTTGTCTCATTGTAAATTTTAAAAAACTGATTTTTTTAAATTTTTTTACTGATAGAGAATTATATATATTAATGGTCAAAGTTGTGCCTCGACAAGTGTGAAATGTTGACTGTTGCACTTATTTAAGAACGGAGGAAGTATAATTTATGCGACAGAGGCACGTAGTATTTCTTACTTAATTGTTTTATTCCGTATATTGTATACGTAGTACTACGTATTATCTTGTAAACATGATTTTATCATTTTGGTACATTAATTAATTAAAAGGGCTGCGACGGGAGCATACCAGAGCATGACTCCAGAAGAAACAGAGAGTTTAAAGAAATCCCAAAGACCTGAGAAAGCTTGGACGGAGAAACCGGGCCAGGTGAGCGGGCACCCGCCGCAGACGGCGTAGCTAAACAGCCCAAAGAAGATAACGAACCAGGAGAAGTTCAATGTCATGGCGATGGCTACGACTCCGAGCCGAAGCCGGTAAACAATCAACCAGCTTACCAGACAATGCACAATGAACGCCACCAAATTCACAATGGCAATAACCGGATTCTTCAGCTGGCTCTGCAGGAACCTCTGCAGCGGGAACTGCAGAGCGAAGCAGAAGTGCATCGGAATGAAGGCCACAACCACCACGCCGGAAAGCTCCGACACGTCGTCCGGCTGCCCCAAAAGCTTCAGCAACGGCGTCGCGTATAAGAACAGCGGCATCATCACGACGCATAACATTAACAAAACCACCCATGACCGTTGCAGATATATTCCCAACATGCTGTACTTCTTCGCCCCAAATGCTTGCCCGCATAGCGTCTCCAAAGCACTAGCCATTCCCAACTGACATAAAACATTTTTCTTATCAAAATAGAATTTATATGGTATGATTTCCATATAAATTGAAAGAATATGATCACAAATTTTTAAATCCTCAAAATTAATTGTTCAATGTCTTACCTTTGCCTTAGACATGCTTGTAAAATTCTTTAATTATTTAAATAATCCACCGGTAGCTTGCACTACTACGTGAGAGGTTGTGGGTTCTAACTCCCCTAGTGACATACTCTGTATTTTTTAACCAAGTAAAATACACCCAAATTTGACGACATGGAGTGAGTAGAAACAACGTGGCATCGTGACGTGGCAGGTTGGGTGACGTGCCAAAAAATACCCTAGTTTGTGAAATAAATTTTAAAACACTCTAATTTGGGAAATAAGGTCTACAACTACCCCAGTTTGAAAAAAAAAATCAAATATATAACCAAAATAAAGGGTTTAATGCATCAAACCCCCCTGTGATTTGGAAATTCGGCGCATTAGCCCCCTGTGATTTAAAAAATGCGTCAAACCCCCCTGTGTTTTAATTAATCATGCGCCAAATCCCTTATGTGAACAAATTCAATTGTCAAATAAAAGAAAAAAGATTAACATTTTTGTATGATTCAGAGATTTTGACATACTACGTATTTCTTTGCATATTCAATCAAAATATTAGGAAAAGTGATTTTCAAATCGTTAAATTTATTCACAGGGGGTTTGACGCATTTTTTAAATCACAGGGGGCTAATACGCCGAATTTCCAAATCACAGGGGGGTTTGGCGCATTAAACCCCCAAAATAAAAGTAGTTGATAAAAATGAAAATCTGGTAACTTTAGAGATTATAATCACATTCAAATGTTACACCAAAGTGATTATACCGGATAAAATGTACATGTTCACTCATACAAAAATGTTATACAGAAACACCGGGACATACCCCTGTCCAAACCATAACAAAGAAATCAGGCAACCAGCCAATAAAGGCTTACCCGCTAACCTGGAGCAACAGAGTACAGGGACAAGCCCCCTTTAGTAACTTCTATGCCGATCATAAAGATAACACATAGTAACTTATACTTACATTTTTGTTCGTATATTTTTATTAGTACTCCCTTTGTCCCTTAAAATCTTGTTAACTTTTCTTTTTTGATTGTCGTATTAACTTTGTCACATTCTCTTTTAAGTAAAGAATTTGTGGTTCTAGTTAATTCTATCTCCTCTACACAAACCTCAACTACACAATTTTGGTTTTATTAATCTCTATGCCAATCAAAATTGGTAAAGTTTTAAGGAACAGAGTAAAAATATTTAGAAAAAACTTCTAAAAAAAATCATTATTTTAACTCTTTAAAATTTTATTTTCCAATATAGGAACTTAAATTTATAATTTGCTTTTGTTTTTAATTTGTTTTATTTATTTAATGTCAATAGAAATAATGAAAATTTGACAAGAATAATCGATTATAATAAGTAGATCAATCAAAGGTTGGATATCCAACCTTTGATTGATCTACTTATTATAATCCCACATTTACGTATTCTCAGAATAATCTCACTTTTGTACCTCATTTTCTTTCGTTGAACTCTGACTGGTTGGTGACCTACTATACTAGGTTTTTTGCATTTTTTTAAAAAACTTGCATAAATAATCCCACCTTTCACTGATTTTCTCAAAACAGTCCTCCATGTTTCATTTTTTCGTTTCTCTCCCTGATTTTTTTCTTTCATTATTTTATTCATAGGCACTTTTTTATTCATTTTTTCATTTGGGAAGGAAATTTTACAAAAAAAACACTCCTAATAGAGTAGGAAATACAATAATTTCTTTAGCAAGGAAATCTTACAAAATGGTCTCACGTTTCATTTATTTTTTTTCTTCCTAAAACTTTTCTTTCTTTATTTTTATCCCTAGACAGTTTTTTATTCCTTTTTTTCATCGTTTTACTCTTATTTGTTTTTCATATATATTATTTTATTTCTCACTCTATCGGGAGTGTTTTTTCTAAATTTCCTTCTGAAATAGATTTTTTTGTCATTTTATTTTTCTTTCTGTATTTTTATTTCATTTCTCTTTTATGTGTTTATCTTCTTAATCATTCTCTTATTATTAAAGATCTTTTCACACTCTATTTTTTTTTATTTTCATTTTCACTTATCCCCTTTTTTCTTATTGTTACTTTTTTTTATTATGTATTTTCTTCTTTCTTGTTGCTATCTTAATTCCACTATCAATATATTTTTTTTCCCTTTCTACATGTTGAGGTTTATTCCTTCAACCCTTGGACCCAACACGTAAGCCCAAAGATTTCGAGTGGAGTGTTTGGATATCTAGCCCAACAACTTTCAGATGGATCAGGAAACAAGAGAAATAGCAGGCAATGTAAATAGGTATTATTAACTTCGTAATAACTCCCCTAAGTACAATCTACTTGCTAAAAAGGCACGTCGGCCGTTCGTCTTACAAGGCACTTAGAAATGCTGCAAGTAAGAGTGTTGAAGCTAGTATGCTAAGAATAGAAAGTTGCCAACCCTTTACAATGAAATAAATGCTTCCATTTATACCCGCCAATGGGCAGGTAGCTGTACTGACGTGGCAGCCTGTGGACCGCTGGTGTCCCAACTACCAAATCTTTAGCATTAAATGCACTTCCCGCCAGAATCTAGGTTTCCCGCCGGATCAGTGGGGACGTTCGTCCACCCGGGAAGCGAGTTGGATTACTCCAAGTGACCCTTGAGGGATATTGGCCGTTCGTCTCCTGGCCTTGATGGATACTCACCATGTGCACTGGGTTTTCTCCGATGACTACAGGCTTGCTCTGGGGACGTTCGTCGCCATCCCTGGTGGCCCGTGGCTCTGCTCCTTGTCCCTGCATAGACGTTCGTCGGAACGAGCTGCTGGGCCTGAGTCCTCCAACACCAGACGCTCGTCCATCCTTAAAGAACATGGGCCTGTGGGCTGGCCTAGTTTCTAGCTGGACGCTCGTCTGGCAAAATGGGTTAGCGGGCCGGACCTCGGCTTGGGCCCTTAACCCAACACTACATTATCGTATTTTTCTAAGTAAGTCCACGTATTAATTTCATCAACTATGGGAAAAATTCTATGTGGCAAAAAGATTATGGGAAAAGTTGAAAAAAATAAAACATTCGGAAAATATTAGAAAGGAAAAATTACATTTTCCTGATTGTTTTTCACATTTTTCGAATGTTTTATTTTTCTTGAAATTTTATCTTTCTCTAAATTTGTTATCACATAGATTTTCCTCCACAAATCATAGAATTAATGGGTTGATTTACTTACAAATACGATAACGAAGAAAGGAGAAAAATTATATTCATGGTGGAATTAAGATAATAAGAAGAAAGGGAAGAATGTAGAAGAAAGAACATTTGAAGAAGTAACAAGAAATGAAATGTAACAAAAAGTAGGTTGGGAAAAAGATATTTAATAAACAGTGAATGACTAAGAAAAGAAACATAAAACAGGAAATGAAATAAAAATATGAGAAGAAAAAGAAAATGACGAAAAATTGCATTTGGCTTGGGAAGGAAATTAAAAAAAACTCCCCTAATAGAGTGAGAAAAACTGGTCAAACGAGAGAAGATTATTTGACTGCGTTATTTTTAATTGCAGAAACAGTGCCGTATTGGGATTGGCACACCATGTCCATGGTGTGCCGATCCCACGATATAATTGACGAGAAATAGAATAATATATATGGAAAAGAAATGAGAATAAAAGGATGGAATAATGAATAAAAAAGTGTCCATGGATTAAAATAAGGGGAAAAAATACAGAGAAAAAGTGACCATTGTATTTTTTTTAGCAGATTTTTGAAAGGCGAAATTATTTATGTAAGGTTTCCAAAAACAAATGCAAAAACCATGGTATAGTAGATCACCAACCGATCAGGGTTCAACGAAAGTAGATGAAGTGAAAGATCGGATTATTTTGAAATTAGCTAAATATGATATTATTATGAGAAAATCGATCGTAGGATTATTCTGATAAATTATGGAAACTTGCGTAAAAACATTTGGTCGCCATTTACAAGAAAAATTGACGATTCATAGTTCATAGTGAAAACTGTCAAATAGGTCCTCGAACTTTCATAAAAAAGTCAATTAAGTCCTTCTATAGGAGTCTCTTTCCGGTCGTCGCGATTTGGGGCGGTTCCCGGTGGAATTTTTTGATGAAATTTTTTAAGCATCTTATTCATCAAGTCTAGTTTACTCATACCAAATTTCACCTAAAGATTCAATCGGGAACACATTGAAATTAATTCTTGAAGATAACTGCGTATTTTTGCGTTCCTCAAAAGTAGCCATGGCGTTCCTCAGGCCGAAAGGCATGACGATGTAGCAGTACACGCCGTCCGCCGTAACGAATGCCGTTTTTTCGGCATCATCGGGGTGCATGAACACCTGATGGTAGCCCCTGAATGCGTCCATGAAGCTGAGCAGCTCGCAGCCTGCTGTCTCATCCACCAGCAGGTCGATCCTCGGGACAGGGTAAGGGTCCATCGGACAAGCTTTGTTGAGGTCCGAGTAATCGACACACATCCGCCAAGTGTCGCCCTTCGGGGCTAGAACCACGTTGGCCAACCACTCCACGTGGATGACTGGCCGGATATGTTTGATGCTGAGGAGAGTTGCTGTTTCCTTCCTGATGAAATCGCGTCGGTCGGCCGCCATATATCTCTTCTTCTGTTGTATAGGCTTGGCATCCGACCGCACGGCGAGTTTATGGCATATGAGGTTGGGGTCGATGCCCGGCATGTCCTCCGGCCCTCTGGCGAACAAGATCCTGAACCTCCGGAGGACGGCTATGACCCCTGCCCTGATTTCTGGCTCTAGATCCGCACCAATGGACACCTTCCTGTCCGTCGGATCGTCGAGTTCAATTTCCTCCAGCAGAGTTGCTGGTTCCAGATGAGCGTCCAAGTCGGCCTGCTTGGCCTTTTCGGAGATGCTGTTGACCCGAGCCTCCCGCTCGTTGAGCTTCTCCATGGCCTTCGTGTA